CCCAGTTTCAAATCCGTCAATTGAAGTCAATTTAAGTGATTTATTTATTTATATGCTTTCTTATTAGTGGAGGTGAATAAAACTTGCCGGTCAATTGAACGATGTGAACGCAACACTCTTTCACAAGTCGTTTACGACTGCAAGGTGTATTTAGGAACAATTCTTCCTCTTTGCTTCGTTTGATCAGCCTTCAGTAATAAATAAGATGACAAGGCATCTAAGCTGAGGCCTGATGACGGGCACGCTGTTTATCAATTTCTGTGTCCTGTTTTTTTTTTTAGTGACGATGACAACTAACCAATGAGCGTTTAAGAAATTTGACAGTAGTTAAAACTCATTTCATAGTTTTTAAATGTTGTCGCGCCGCGAATTTCCCCGCGTCGGGAGGCTTTGAAATTTATAAAATTTAATAACTACAGGGTTAAAAAACATTTACCAAGCCTGTTATGTGTAGGGTTCTCTGAACAAAAACTTCAACACTGAAATTATTATTTTTGCGACTGAAAACGGTTTCCACACAGCCCCTGCCTGTTTGAATGCCGCCTATACTTCAGTTAAGAATCATTAATTCCGCATGTACTATTCATGAGTTTGAAAGTTTTCCATCCGTTTTTTGACTTAAGATTTTAGCCCTAAAATATTAGATAGTCAAGCTCTTCGAAAAATAAGTCGATGCGATATTCGAAACATTAAATACGGGCTTTTTACAACTGAAAAATAGAATCAAGCTCCAAGAATGTACCTGTCGAGCTACAGACACCTGTTTACTTGCATACACGCAGCATCTCGTGTGCATGAACGAATGGTTGTGTTTTGCATAACCAAGATAGTTAATTTTAACTCAGTATCAATATGGATAATATTAATGAGTTGTTTTACATCCGGTGCCTCGAAGTTGAAAACTGTAGGCTTTTATAGTTAATATTTATGGCCTAAACGAATATCATAGTGAGATATTAGGTCAAATGAAAAATCGAACCTAGCGGGATACCATTCATTTCCGAGAACTTAAACAAATGAGTCTCAAGGACAGGTGCCAAGATCTCTAAGTACTTTGAATCTAATTACTTCCTGAGCCAGTCACTTAGATAGTACAGTTTATATAACATGCAATATCACTGAGGCAAGACAAGAGCTTAATTCAGTTTAAGATCTTCTAATGGAGGAAGAATGGCGTCCTTGAAGACACTCGGCGGTGAGATTTCAACTATGTTTGTGGTTCTCTCTCTTCCTGTTGCACTTGTTTTGTCGAATTATCACGCAGGTAAGTAAGACTGGTTTCTGTATATATCATGAACCTGTTTTCCGTCTTGCGAGATCATTCCTTCCTTGTTTTCTTGTTCAATGTGTTAATTCTCGTGTCGGCTGCCTTGTAACGTAACTTTAAGAGACTTAACTCAGACATACTGAGATAATTTTTGATATCATATGACTAAGAAAAACCTGAGTTGTATCTCTGAGTTTTTTGCTGAATCATGTTAAGTGTATAGCCCGCATAATGAACTTCCTTTATAACCGAATAGCTTGATCATCTCTTTGCTTATGGACGATCGCGCGAAAATGTTCAACTCGATAGATTTTCGATTCTTCAAACTTCTACTGCGGACAGAAAATGAATTACTTGTTTCAGAAATGCATGAAAAAAATTGGAGGTCAAGGACTTCGTTTCAGAGATAAAGGGTAGGGAAAACTAGTCTGATTTTCAAAAATTGGCGCGCCTAAATCAGCATGATCTTCAGGGTTTTTAGCTTAAAATATCAAAGATGAATCAACGAAGAAAAACTATCCTAGTAAAATTTTGTATAAGTGAATCCGTTGCGTTAATAATTCTAAACGTTGCCAACGTTTTCGCCAAACTTAACCGTTCAAGAGGCATTTGAAACCGCCGCTCAGATAAACGCAGAGCTAAAAAGAACGGAATTCAATGGTGCATTTTGCAAAATATTAAACTTTCTAATCGATAGATTTTCTTCATTTTTCGCTAAACGTAGAAAAGAGGATTAAAAGGAAGACATTCAAGCTGTGATAGTCACTCAGTCCTAGTTACGTTTTAATGAAAGGACAACTGATCACATACTGTTCTCGCATTTGAAAACAATTACCAAAATGTCAAATAACGACGTAGCAAATAATCAAGTGTGTGTTTACTATATAGTTAAGTTATGTATTTTCCAATTGTCCTAGCCCCCTTCACAACAACAGCAGGAACATAATCTATTTTCTCACAATTTACATTTACAGATAAATTTACAGCTTTTTGATGTTTACAGTATACTTTTTCGGTTGATAAATATTAAAGTTAGAATAATTATGGGGGTCAAGTAAATCATTCAGTTTTCTAGTTGGCCTCCATATTTACAAAATTAGTTAACTTTCGGTACAGGTAAGGAACCAGAACGGAGCTAGCGGAGAAAAAACTAAAATTGGATATAATATACCTACCAACGAACTGAAAGCAAATTACAATTACAGTGAAATAAAATAAAAAGTAAGGTAAAACGGACAAGTTTTAGGAGAGAGCGAGTTTAAACAGAACAAAAGATCATGGTTACAAGAAGTCAGTTATTTTGGACGTTGTCTAGACAGTAGAAAACATTTGATATTTTTACTGAAAAAACGTACTCATTCAGATCTTTTAGGTGTTGTGGGATGGTTTTCCAAAGATCAATTCATCTGCTTGCCAGTATTCGTTCTAACGTATGGCTGGTACAAATTTTGCTGCTTTGCATATCTCGTAACTATTCCAATTCGATTTGGAAACAGCAGGCGAAGGGTTTCTTCGATCTTGCGATGTGCCACTGCCAATTCTAATTTATTAATTCCTTTATAAATCGTATCTATAACAAAATTCTCGATCGTGATTGGTTCTCCGCGCGTTAATCTATTTGTCACGTAATTAACATGCGATCACGTGGGTGTCCAATTGGATCGGCTCTAATTGGATACCTATACCATTCGCACGTCAATTACGTGTTTACTGCAGTTTTTAAAACTTATTGGAAGTGCAACTGCACGCGCTCATCCGATTTTAAATTACTCGTCCGATCACTCTCTGAATTGTATTCCACTCGGTCCATATTTAAAGTGCACCTAACCCCAAAATTTTTTTTTCGCTAGAACGAATCTACTTATTATTTGAAATAGTTCTGCGAAAAAATTTTTGAATTCCGTTAA